GAGGGAGAGTCCCCCTCCCTACGACCACGTGTCAGGGGTGGAAAATGGCCACGGATCACGTCAGGGGTGGAAAAATGGCCGTGGATTATGTGTCAGGGGCGTAAAAATGGCCGCAGACCATGTGTCAGGGGTGGAAAATGGCCACGGATCACGTCAGGGGTGGAAAAATGGCCGCGGACGTGTCAGGGGCAGAAAAATGGCAGCAGACCACGTGTCAGGGGCGGAAAAATGGCCGCGGACTACGTGTCAGGGGCGGAAAATGGCCGCGGACGTGTCAGGGGCAGAAAAATGGCAGCAGACCACGTGTCAGGGGCGGAAAATGGCTGCGGACCACATGTCACGGGCGAGAAAATGGCCGCGGACCACGTGTCATGGGCGGGAAAATGGCCGCGGACCGGGTCACGGGAGGGAAAATGGCCGCGGATCCTGTTCATAACCCGAGGCGGAGTTCGCGAACTGAAGCAAAATTTTGCGGCAGGAGCTGGTTGTCACCTGAAAAGTTTGTGAACAGAAGCGTTCGTAACCTGAGGTTCCACTGTAACCTTAATAAAAGTACAGATGTAAGGATGGTTTGGGACGCAAGTAAAACTTTCATGAGATAATATTTTATACAACATAATAGTGAACTTAAAAAGAACAGGCAAGAGAAAACACAAGCTACTTTGGATGAGATATAAAGAAAAGAAGAATTAAAGAAGCTTCCAGAGAAGATTAAGTATTACCCAACAAATTAAGCTTCTACAGAGACAATTGTCTATGTTTAATTTAAGAGAAATGAAAATAAAAATGAATTATGCAAAACAAAAAAAATGAGTTTGCAAACAAACCAGGGAAATGGCTGGCATACAAATTACAAAAAGAAAAAGAGAAGAAAATGATATTAAAATTACAAGAGGGAAATACTGTAATAACAAATAATGTGAACATTCAAAAAATATTTTATCAATATTACTCTAATTTATATAAAGGACAAGAAATTTCCATGGAGAAAATGGATGAATATTTAAAGAAACAAAATTTACTAAATTATTACAAATGTTTTGAGGATGAACTCTTACAACTTTTACGATTTGACTTCAACAAGAAAGTACTGGCCGATATAATTATTA